TTAAACTAAGTGAGAAATTTTTTTTATAAAGTAAGAATTATATTAAAAAATAAATATTTAAAATATTTTTTATTTTATTATAATATTAATATGTAAAAATAAGTAAATAACTTTCAAAGAGAAAATTTTCCCCAATCAACACCTCCTTAAAGTTCTCCTTGAGTCTCATATATTTAATATCCTTAAAGTAAATGGTTTAATTATATTAGGCTGTACACAGATTAATTTGAAATATATTTGAGTTTATATTATTCGAGGGCAATCATTTGAAAATAATTGTGTGGTGTGCATGTACCTCTCACATGTTTATGTTAGGTTATATAAAAAGGAAAAATATTTTTTTTTTTTAAAAAAAATTCTTATCATTTGATTTAAAATTTTAACTTAAGTTATCAAACTTGAAATTTTAGATTTTTAATTAATTGAGTCACCTCTAATACATAATTTCAAACTCTTGGTATTATTTTGAATATCACTTTACTGGATAGTTAACTATTAATACTAATTAGTAATAGAACTGAACTTTTGAATTGAGTAATTCATCTCAAATCTTAAGAAAAAATATCCTCCATTCCCTAAATTTCTCAATATTTAAAAAAAATACTCATTAGTAATAAAATCTTATTTTATAATTCAAATTACAAAATAAAAATTATTGAATGAAGACAATATCCAATATTAAAAAATTCATCCCATCCAATAATTTATATTATATATTTTTTTGGGTACAATTTATATTATATATTTAATATAGTTGTAATTACATAATATTTTTTCACAGATGTTGATAATTAATTACTAAATGCTAATAAAAATATCTTCTGAAACACCTCTAATGTTTTTGAAAAGTTAATAACTACTTTTTAAAAGCTAAAACTATGAAACTTTGATATGCAAACTTTAATATCAGTTTTAATATAATATATAATTTAATAATAACAAAATAAAGTAATCTTCTTTGTATTTAAAAATATATTTCTTTATCATACGTGAGATTTTTTCTAAACTGGTGTGTTTGGTATTGAAACCTTTCGTAATAACAACAATTTATTACTGGTTGATGGCAAAAAAAATATAATAAAAAATATATATTATTACTTATTTTTTATTATTATAAGTGAGAATTTACTTATATTCTCTTAAACAAATCACTTACATAAATATGGGTAATCTATCATTTTATTATAAATGATTTAAATTTATTTATTAAAAAAT